AATGGGGTAGGACTTGAGCTGACCTAATATGACATGACAGATGTGATGGACAGAGCCTCCTAGCTCGCATGGCTACGGCTGTTTAACTTCCTCACGCTGCCTTAAGGAAACATCTGGGTCTTGTAGTATACAGGATCTACAGCAGTTGCCCTGGCACATGTCTCTGTTACATAGCTAATCACAGAGATAAGGGTTAAGGTGTCAGAAAGTATGCAGTATGATTTGCTTTTGTCTCATGGCAACATTTGTAGATGCACAAATGACCAAAGCATTGAAGCAATGTTGCATTCTGGGTGTTCTAAAAATGAAATATATAAAAAATGCCTTTACTAGCATGTTAAACATTTTTTCTCTTAATTTTGTGTAGGTCTGAAAGTGAATCGTCTCGACATGTTCGGAGAGAAATATAAACCCTTCAAAGGAGTCAAATATGTTACCAAAGCAGGGAAATTCCAAGTTAGGACATGAAGAGTACTACCAAAGGGATCGTCTGTATTTAAATTATCAAGTAATCAAATATTATTTCTAACTTTATATGGCCAGTAAGTGCCAAATTGACAACATTGCTCCAGTCCTGTCCTCCTTAGGTGCTGTTCGGTAGTGTAGTCTGTGCTGGAAAGTCTTAATCGAAGACAGTTTCTCTTCCTGCTCCTTGTTCCACAGGACACCTCTGCCAGCTGGGTGTCATTGTGCTTGCACAGGCTGTTAATGTGTTCAAGGCCCTTGGAACAGATGGCAGTTTGGCTAATTCTGTACCTTCAGTAACAGTAAAGGTTATCCTCGCACTCTATAAACATCGGTCCATTTGCTGTGTAGTAAAATGGGGATTTTAAAAAGTTGACCTTTGTCATCTATGTAAATCCGATCAATAGTCTTTTTTTTTTCTTATGGATTATTTAAAAAGTATATTTTATTTTTTAAGGGAAAATGTGGACCAAAAACTATGCCAAGTTAGGGTAAACTACATTCACAATTTATCATTATCTGAAACTCCAAGGTGTTCTGACAGTGTAGGAAGAAAATCCAGTAACCATGCCGAAGATGAGCAGCAGCATGAATATACGTGTTCATATGCATGTTCCTGTCTGCAGCACAGACATGACTGCTTGTGTGAGGAGTGAACTGAGCTCATAGTCTGGACCCCCTTCTTTCTAGAGGTCACTCTTTTGAGTAGGCTATAACTTTATTTTAAGCAATGCCCTTAATTTAAAATCCGATTAAACATTACCATGTTATGGCCTTACTGTAGTCATGCAGCAGAGGGTCTGGTGCAGACCTGCACTTTTTACAGAGTTTTCGGAAACCATTCTTTAAGACGAGGCAAACCCTGTTCTCTGCTTGTGGTACTTGGATACAGCCGCATAGAAGCACTATACAAAACTGTGGACCCAAGCTGGGGTGGGGTTGCATCATTAACCTAAAATTGTTTTCATTTTATTTTTCTTGTACAATTATGAAAACATTTACAAAGTTATAAGTTTTGTACAATTATGGTCAGGGTGAAATGGGGAAGAAAGGAAGCTTTCTGGAGATTTTATAAACTAAGATCCTTTTTTGTTGTTGTTTGTTGGGGATTAATGGATGGTGTCAATCAAGTGGGTACATTTGTTGCAAGAGAAGAGCTGTCATTCCTATTTATGTTTATAAAGCATTTATAAACTTTAAGATGCATTGTGTGGCTGTTATTTATTTTTCAAAGCTCATGTTGCATATCCTTGCAAGTACTTTTTGATCTTCAACAGCTGTGGGAGTTGATGGTAGACCGAGGCCTTCTGTACAGGGTGCATTGATTGAGCTTTGGTCTGTGTAGGTCCTAATGCCCCAGCATATATTGTAAAAAAGGCAGTCCCTTCTATGAGACATTAAACGGAGGTCCTGACTCTGTGGTCATTAAAAATCCCAGGGTCTTGCTTGAAAAGATTAGGGGTGTAACCCTGGTGTTCTGGCCAATTTCCTCTTTACCCATCATGGCCTCCTAATAATCCCCATCTCTGAACTGGCTTCATCACTCGGTTCTCCTCCCCACTGATAGCTGGTGTGTGGTGATTGTACTAGAGCACTGTGTCTGCCATTGCATCATTCAGGTGGGCCTACACATTGGTGGTGGTGGAGGGGAGTCCCCATTACCCATGAAGCATTTTGAGTGGAGTTCTAGAAAAGCACAAGCAATTGTATCTGTTCAAAAGAACTACACTGTGGAGCAGAAGTACAAGGGAATAGATTCCAGATGTGGCCACCAGAGGGTATCTGTTCAGAAGGAGCAGATTCCAGATTCAGCTTAGTGATCCTGTCTGTCCTGCTCTAATCACATTTCTTGGGATCATGGTTGATCTCATTGATCCACCATGCACAGGTTTTGCAGCAAAGGGAAGCTATGTAACCACTATTTTTACAATACAAAAAACAGCAATACTGGCTGTCTGAACTTCACCCACAACCCCTGTCAGCTCCATAATTGCAGGAAGTAGAGGTGCAAAGCAGGACAAGGCTCAAACTGGGCATACCAATAAGGGTATAAAATGTTTTATTACCCAGGCCCATGACAGCTGCACTTGATTGTCAAAAGTCACCGCAGGAAATAGCACACAATCTGTGGGATTTCCAATCTTACCTAAAACAAATGCATGTAAAAACTGGACATACAATCGATTGAAATGTATTAAATAAAAAAAAACAAGCATTAAAATGATAAACTATCAAACTTTTATTCAAAAGGCACATAGATCAGATGGCTTCAGAGGATACTGTAAAACAAGACTGCAAAAGTTTTATATTTACATTCAAAATGCAGTAAGTTTTCATTCACACAGTTAGAAAAAAAGGCTATCTAAAATGTCATTCCGCTCGCTCCACAGGCCTGTCTTGCGTGTTAAAAATATCACCTGCTGTAACAGCGCCCTGCTGCCTGGCGTTAAATCAGCACTTGTGAGAGCTACAGCTGGGCCCCCCGGTGTCGAGTGTCAGCGGAAAGAAGGAAAAGCATCCCCCTCCGACCGACTCGAACCCGCGCCCCCTGTAAGAACACGACAGCGGGCGCTGGCAGCACCGCCCCGCAGGTGGCAAGGAAGGCTGCCGCGCGGAGAAAGTGCGCAGGGCTGTTCGCCGCAGGTGCCCAGCGGTGCACACAAAAATGAAAACACACAGGCCCCCCCGTGGGACCGCAGAACCGGCCGGAGATTAAAATAGGTCTGAGGCAGAAGGTCAGTGCTGGCCACTCCAAAGGACCCCCCCCGAAGCACAGCTAGAAAGCCATGTTCCCCTGGGGAATTCCAGCAACCTTGGCAGACAAATACACAGGACGCAAAGAGCGTAGCTTCTGCCCAGCCAGTTAATCGGCACTGCTATCTGCCCTCGGCCAGCGGCCAAATTACAGTCAAGAACTGTAATGGAGATTTTCAGCTGAGAAAAGGATTTTCCCACAACCCATTCCACTAGGCTTTGTACCATTTGGTGTTTTCGCTTCAAAAGTGACTAGTCTAGATCATTTCACAGCAACAGCTTTTGTTTTCATGATTTCTCACAGACAGACCTTACAAAAATGTTCAGTTTATACAAAGGCTCTAATCCGAAAGACCATTTTCCAGAACTGTCTTTACAATGTTCAAGAAAGTGTGTCGTTGGTGTTGGCGCTGTTATTCGACAGTCATGGGCAGATAACAGGTTTTTACATTGCTAGAAAAAAATGGGCCGTGGTTGGTAGTATGCAGTGCTGAGTGAAGTTAGTGTTTTCAGACACCGTGTGTGAGAGATATTGCTAAAATAAACAAAACAATGAAACATCGAACAATCCATTCAGAAAAAAAAGACATCTTTGGCATAATTTATGACTTGGCTATAGAAGGCATCATGTTAATAAAGAAATTGCCAAATCATTCACAATTCTCGGCCTCCTTTTACAGTATAAATAGATCAAAGTATTTCTGAAACAGGAAACATTCCATTCATTTAGTGTGAAGCAGCCAGAACACGAAACATCTTTTATAGTGTGATTATAGCCAAACGGTGAGATCTGCCGCAGTTTGAATTCTAATACGTTTGGATACTGAAAGTTACTAAGAGATATCATTTAGGAAAAAACATAACCCACATGGACACTTTTTTGTGCTGACTAAAGTAAAAAAGTCAGGTTTTTTTAAATCCAGCTTTTCTCCACGCAATATCAACCGTGACCATGAATCACTACGCAGAATAATCGTTCTGTCAATCCAGGCTAGCTTCATCTGAGCAGTAGTATTAATACACTGGGGACACCCAAATGATTTCAATTACATATTTATCGTGTTTCCTTAGAATTAGAGTATTTTTGTCTCTCAACTGTTAATTAAGCTTATACTGTCTTGTTGGTCTTCTAAATAAAATCGTGTTATACAATGAACATACATCTGCAAAAAAAAAACGGTGTGGAGTTAATATTCAAAAGAAACTTTTTATACAAAACATCCGAGCAAAGGTTAAGGTTAAGTTCTTGTCCTGCAAACATTCCTTCTACCCAAGGTGACGCCTGATGGTTCTGGCCCGCGGCTCCAACCCCTCTGTTACACCCTGCAGGTCTGGCTGGGTAGTGTTTCGGGGAGCCGAGCTGCCCTTACTGGTACCAGGGTGTCTTCCTCACCCAGCGCAGGGTGAACCCAGCGTCCGTGCGGATCTTGATGGAGGCTGCCTCGGCTTCTCTCACCGTCTCCTTGACGGACTGCATCAGGTTCTGGGCGTTGTGCACCAACATTTCGGTGGCCTGGGGGCGAGCGGGCAGAGGACGGAAATCATCATCGAGGACAACGGACCCCCTGAGACTCGTGTCTCGGTCCTGCAGAGCAGCCGCCCCTCTCTCGGGGTGCTAGAGAGCTGCAGGGCCTTTGATCCCTACCCACTGCTTGAAGACGCCTTTCCAACCTAATAATCTTCTAGCCATTCTAATCATCCGCTTGAGACGGCCATTTAGGCAAGATAACGATCAACTGGCAATTACAGAGTGGGTGGGCAGAAAACAGTGGAGCCACCTGAATGCAGCTCCACTCTTGGATCCACTGATGCTGTAAACCCCCCTGCCCCATCCCGTCAAGATCCTCAACCTCCCCTTCGCAGTATGACACCCAGACACCGAGCAGCAGGAAGGTTACCTGCTCCGACTCCTCCTCGCTGATGTTGGTGCGGCCCAGCATGGTGGCCTTGACAGTGGACAGGATCTTCAGCTGCGTGCTGATGGTGGGGATTCGCTCACACACCTGAAGAGGAAAAGGCCTGAGCTCCAGGGAAGGCAAGCAACCGTGCTGTAGACTATAAAAAGCTCAGAGATGCAACCTATTTTTGCTTAGGTGTTTTGGAAAATGCGTTTACATGTATATCCGAGACAGACAGACAGCAGTGTGAAGGGGGAGAGGTGAGACAGCAGGAGGGTGGGGGACAGAGACAGACAG